ACAAGGAAGAGTGGCTTAAGTTGCTTCGTCAGGAACGCAGAGATTTCCGTCGCTCCATGAAAGCACAACGCCGCAGTCTGCGGACTATTTTCTCCCCTGGACCCTGACCAACTTTTCGCGGGACCTTCCATGCCCCGAATTCACCCCGCCACGTCGCGGGAGAAGTCTTTACCCCTTTGGGAGACTTGAGCAACTTCTGTTCAAAAATACAGATGCCTCAAATGGTTCAAACTTGTTGTTGACTCACCGCTTCACAGTACTTGACCTTTACAGCCGAATATTTCACCGGCAATCGAATGCCATAGAGTAGCATATTAACGATTAATGTCTCAGTTATTATTATTATTGAGACGCATCAATAAATTTATGACGACTAGTGATGAAATAGACTGGGAACCCATTACATTGTGGGAAGCACTACAGAAGTGGGTGAATAGTCGTCAGAAAGGAAATGAAACGGTGATTGAATACCTTTAACGATTTGAAGAATGTGCAATTACAGTATTGTCTTTCATGGGTGGTTTGTGGCTAGATGTGTTTGCCTCAAAGACGACCGCATATCATGAAATTAAAAACAATCATCCGACTAATGGCTTGTCGGATAGAGAAAAGAAGCGAGTTGCCGCAGAAGTCAAAGCACTTCAAGAAGAATTTCAGGAAGAGTTTGTAAAGTTGTTCTGTGCTGCTGGGTTATTGCACAACTGTGATCGTGCACGATACCAGCCGGTACTTGATCATTTTGTTACTGCATACGCTGTGGAGCACGTGGATTATGCTCAGCGAGATTTGTTCCCGAGAGATGTGGAAACTGCAGCTAAGGCGCTACACAATCATCGGGTAAAGAAAACAACAACACCAAAACATAACAACAACAACAACACAAATGATAAAGCGAACACACCACAGAACAGTACTAACCTTGCACAGGATTACAACAAGGAGAGTAAGCGTATATTCCGAACAAACAAAAATACAAAAACAACACGCATATCCGGGTCCTCAAAACATCACTTTTGGTACTTCGCCTACACGATTTTCCTGTAACGAAACGAAACTCGCTCCTCCTTTTTTGCATCAAAACTGACAATGGGAAAGTCGAAGAACAACAAGAAAGTGGCAATCGCTGCTAAACCTGTTAATTCTACTGCTCTTAGTGAGGGTCGCATCAGTTTTTCGCAAAAAAGCCGAGCCGAAACCGCCAAAATTCGATCGAAAAAGGAATCCGACGATTTGGACCCTCCAATCGTCAACAACAACAGCGACACCGAGATGGAGGAGGTCGAGTATCCACTGAAGTACGATTGCATTGTCCAGAACATCGATTTGTCTCAGTGGAACCTGCAAACCCTTGCCTATTTATGCACAATCTACCGTGCTTGTGGTCAACGCAACAATAAAAAAGAAGTGGTCTTTGGAAACGAGCTGTTCTCGGCATGGGAGAACAAGCCCAATTTCCACTGGCCTTGGTGCGAAGGGTATTCTGAAAATTTCGTAGACCCTCCGGCGACTGAATCCTGGGAGGAAGCAGCCGACAAGCTACTACAGATTTGCGATGGGGACTGGAACTTGGTCGAGCAACGCATTCGAGCTGCGCTTGACCGAGACATCAAGGACGAATTTACTGGGAACGATCGTAATAATAATAAATCTGATGCATTAATCATGTTAAAACTATCTCAAGTTTCTAGATTGCCGTTAACGGCTGTCATGGCCATTTACCATACGGAGGTGAGTCCAGTACTGTTGAACCAGTTTGAGGCA